GGGCGCCTGGGTGGCTCAGTTGGTTAAGCAACTGCCTTCGGCTCAGGTCATGATCCCAGGGTCCTGGGATCGAGTCCCACATCGGGCTCCCCCTTCTCTGTGGGGAGCCTGATTCTCCCTCTGCCTCTGCCTGCCACTCCCCCTGCTTGTGCTCACTCTGTCTCTCTCTCAAATAAATAAATAAAATCTTAAAAAAAAAAATCTATAGAAAAAAAATTATGGAATTTAGGCTTACTCAGAAACCCATGAGTTTAGAGGAGAAAGTTTTATTAACTGTGAACAAGGTGTTAAACTTAACAGCTATACGGTAGACAACTATACTGTAGCAGACTCTCCAAGGAAGTTATAAGGCTAAAGGTTTGGGCAATCAGAATGAATAATGGTATCCAGGGACTGACAGCAAAAGAAAATTCCAAAACAATTTTTAAAGACTATGCAGATTGGCACCATTATTTTAAAGAAACAAAAATAACTGCTATTTACCAAGTACCTACTAGTTTCTTTACATGTATTATATCTAAAATCCTTCAAAACAGGTACATTTCATTTGTGAGGAAACTAGCTGAAGTGGACTTGCTTACTGAATGGCAAGTCAGAAGTATTCCTGCCAGAGGCAAATGAGCTACAGGTGAGCTCGTGAGGGATTCACAAACAAGAAGCTGGGCTGAAGCATGTAGGCTAAGAGGCAAAAGTCCCATGCATATTGATTCTATGCAGTGGAAAGAAGGAATATAATTTGTCATATGCTTACTATGTGCCAGGTACTCTAATAAATGCTCATAAATATCACTCAAACATTAACAATCTTTCATGATAGAAATGACAATTCCTGAATTTACAAATGGGAACTGGAGGCTCAGAGAAGTTGAGTAACTTGACAAAAGGTCACATTGCTATCGTGTGTTTGAGCCAAATTAAAATCCAGGTCAGTCTGACTGCAAAGCTTTCATTCACCTAGGCCATGCTGCTTTTCCTAAGGGCAATAATTTTTTGCTGACTTCCATTTCTGTTGCTCAAATTCATTTTGTCTTTTATCTCTAAGAGAGTGCTCACATCCAGGAACCTGAGAAAGCAACACAAACTTTCACAGTTGGGCAGGGCAATAAGAGATCAGGCCATTAATCCTCTTACTTCAGGAGTCCTAAGGCCTATTAAGGTTATGTTGCCCTGCCAGTTAATGGTACATCGGAGTCTCCTAACTTCTGGTTCAGAGCCTCTTTCATTAAGACTATTCATGGAGACTATTCATTGTACTAGACTGAAAGAGAAAAAAGCAATTCTGACAAACATAATAACTCCCAAATCAGATTTCCTTATTAAATATAAAATAAAAATAGCACAGAATTACCATGTAATTATTAAAATGAATGCAGAAGTCCTTTACTTGAGAGAGCTGATACCCCTAAGTAAAATGTAATAAAGATTACTATTTGTAAAACTTTGAATTTACATAGTTAATTACCATTCCCAACACAGCTCCAGGTTACTGTTTTAGAGCTAAGGAAATAAAAGAAGCTAATTAACTTAAGAGAGGAGAAACCAGGATAGTTAGAATGGTTAACTGTTTAAGAACATCAGTTTTTAGTATTTTCTGATTGTAGTACAATGCAGGGAAATAACAGCTTCACTTCTGAAGAATCTTTAAATATTGGGATAAGTGAGTATCACTTGGGATAGTTTCAACTGCAAGTAATTGAAAACCCAGGTTCAAAGTGGCTTAAACAGCATGAGGGGTTACTAAACTTAGAAAGAACTAAGTCCAGAGGCATCAAAGGTTCCAAAGCTGGTTAATTCAATTTCACAATATTATCATGGACATTCCATTGTTCTACTCTTACCACATTTAGTAGTCAGCCTGTTTTTCATGATCCAAGCCGTTCCAGATGGCCCATGTAACAATATCCAAGACATAAGAATTTCCTTTCGAACATCTCTATTATTCAAAAAATGTTTTGAGCAGCTCCCCAGCAGATTTCTCCTCCAACTCCCATTGAAGAAGCTTAGGTCAAGAGTCCCGCTTCCACGATAACTGGCAGTGAATGATTGCCGTAAACAATCATTATTTGAGTACGGCCTCCCTCAGGTATATCATTCTGCATACTGGGAACCCAGATAAAAACTGGTGTTCTCTCAAGAAGTCAGGGAAAATGGATTTGGGTGGGAAAGCAAGAGTGTCCTTCAAAGTGAACTTTAGGAAGCAGAAGAAACAACAGAACTAATTCTACTCCTGCCCACAAAGACAGGAATGTTAGTGGTAAACTGAATACTGTGATGATTGTTATTCAGAAGGTGGAATATATTCCTTGAGCCTAGTCTACATAACTTCCAGTTTCTATTTTCATAGTTGACAAACATGTTATTATGCTTTGGTTAAAACTTTTGTTTGTCATCTATGACAGTTTCCCATTTGCCCTGCCTATCAGTAAGATTAACATGAGGAAACACACATAAAATTCAGCTAAGCTTTAGGAGAGGCCTGATAAAGAGAAGGTAATAATTTCTTAAGGTAACTAGAAAAGGAGTTTACATTTATTTAAGGAAGGGAATCACATAGACTAGTTCCTAAATGGAATTTTTTTTAATATAAGGAGTTAAAAAAGGTAAGAATTGGAAGGTATAAGAGAGAATAGGGTTACTGAGGAGGGCAGAATTTGAATACTTTCCTTGCTAAGAAAGAGCTTGTTTGAGTTTGTATAAGTGACCTTATATCTGAAAAAGGGATAGAGTATGAAACATCAGGGAAGTGGGCCCCATGCAACAAGATACAGATGCTCATAATTTAGGAAGTTTTATATTATTCATTAAAATATCATCTGAAACATTCTTTCAACTTTTGCAGAATGCACCTTCAAAATCACCAATCACAGTGTCTTACTGCACAACAATCTTAAAGTTACAGTACTGAAATTTGGCTACCCAAGCAACATATTATCATATACTGCATACATAGATCATTTTTACCAGCTACCTTCAAAATGTATGTCATGAGTTCAAATGGCAGATTTAACGAGAATAGATGGATGACACTTTTTTCTGGCATTGTACCATTCCTTGAAAACTGAAAGTATATGACCTAATTGTCTCCAAAAGTATCCAAGTATAGTTTATAAATGTGAAATATTTCAATAAAATAAAACTACAAGTATTTTTATAAAAAAAACTTTAAAGCTTAAGCCAATTCCGGAACTTCTTAGATAGGCAATTCCTGTTTTAGAATGTCACCTTATTTGGGAGGCCAAAAAAACACACAAGAAATATCAGATCAGTCACTTCCCTCATTTACTAAGCTTAGCAGTAAGAGGCTTTAGCATATTTAAAAAGTTCAACTCCAATCTTAAAGAATAAAAATTTGCCAGCAGTGAGAATATTTAACAGGATATACTAAAGGCTTAAAAGCAATTAATTCCAAAGGTGTGGTTCTAAAAAGTATTTTGGCTATATTAGCACTAGTACAGTATATAAACAACCTTCCAAGCTGATAACCTTCTAAGGAGACAAACTTTTGTTATGCTTGTTCAAAATGAGTCAACTTATTTTATAAGCATATCTTGTAAGAGTAGCTCTTACAGGTGAGTACAGAACATTATTTAGAATAAATCTGACTTGGAAAAAAAAGGAAGAGTAAGATTGACTTGGAGAACTCTGTGAACTTAATTTTCCAGAAAGAAAGCCATCATTAAAACAAATAGCATGCCACTCTTCTGTTAAATACCATAAATTTTCAGCTTTTTGAAAGTTCTAAACAAGCAGAATTGAGACAAGGAATCAAGAAACATCTGAAGTTCAATCAGCAAGAGCCCTTGTTTTAGCCATACTAACTTTGCAGTGAATTTTTCTTTTAACAACATATTTAAAACTATTCTACACTGTAACTTACTTGCTTGGGAAAAATCATTAAAAGTAACAGATAAAATGGTCCCCAATAGTTCATTCAACAGGAATTAAAGTCTCATAATATATGTTTTTGAAATGTCTGAAAAGTCTATTTAAAAAAAGAGGGTTGACTGATTTTGGCATCTTTACAAAGACATGCTGTGACACTGTTAAGTAAATAAACTTGCATAATCCATAAAAGGAGGCAGTTCTAATTTTTGTAAACCATTAGAAGCCACAAAGATTTGCAATATAAAAGGCTGAAGTTTACAGTAAATAATTTGAAATAATTTGAATTGCAACATATTTCTAACCTGACCATGCTGAAAATGAACAACTCATAAGAAGACAACAGATTAACATAAATATAAGGCAATTCTTGGGCGTGGGAATAAGAATAATAAAGTGAGAGATGTAGAGACTACTAGTTTGCCAGATTGAGATGACCATGCTGAAAATGAACAACTCATAAGAAGACAACAGATTAACATGAATATAAGGCAATTCTTGGGTGTGGGAATAAGAATAATAAAGTGAGAGATGTAGAGACTAGTAGTTTGCCAGATTGAGACGAGGCTGTTGGAACCGGGTAAATCTTAAAAGACTTAAGAAGATTTGACTATGTCATTCCCAACCAAAAAGAATTCACTGATAAAACCTCTGGCTTCTCTTTCATGTTACAACTCCCCCCCCCCAAATTTTACACTCTGTGAAACCTGGAGTTTACTCTGTACAATTCTTTTTAGCCAAGTACAGTACTTTAACAATTCTGCTAATGTGGCAATCAGATGGGCAAAGGGAAAGGCTAGTGAGGAAGGAGAGCAAAGCAAGGGCTACTGGATACAGACCCTTAGATTACAGCCAGAAGTGATGTGTCAGGAGGGATGAACAACTCAGAATTGGAAGAGCTGAGCCGTGGTGAGACAAGAGGGAGGGAGAAAGGATCCGAAGAAAAATCCTGAACATGGGTCAGGGATAGAAGAGCAAGCGTGTGACCCAAGGCGAAGGGAGGTATGTCAAAAGGAGGCAGCTGGCGGGCAGCAGGCCTGAGGAGCTACGTGAGGCTATGACCAGCCCACCCTCCCGCCCTACTTTTTCCTGCGGTCGGAGAGGCAGCGACCAGTCACCTGGAGTGTGAATTCCGCAGGGACTCTATGAGGCGCTGCTTCTGCTGTTGGAGGCTGGTGAGGCCACCGGGGGACCCAGCTGCGGAGGAGGAGGCGCTCTTGGTCAGGGGAAAGAGCCAGCTCATCCTCCACGGGTCCCCGGGCCCGAGGCCCTGGAAGGCTCTGGCCTGCTTCTCCCAGCTGCTCAACCCGGCGGTTCCCCAGCGACAGGAGGAGCAGTCCGAGGCTCCCGGGTCCCAAGTGCTGGGGAACCGCGTCTTCTCTAAGCAAGCCCGGCTGAGGGGTCCTTGGGTCCTGGGCGAAACACTATGACTGCGGGCAGCTAGAGAGAGAGGAAAGTAGCCGCCCGGGACGGGCAGCTCTACCTTCACGGTCCCAACGCCCAAACCAGTCAGTGAGGCAGCCTGACCGTCAAACGTTCCACCACCCCTGCTTCCGTCACCTGCGTGCTCCGCCCCCTCTGCGTGTCGCGTCATCACCTAGCGCCCCCGCCAGGACGTGAGAGAAGCGACGGCGCAGCACGGTGCGGCGCAGCCCCGGCTCCCCTTTTCCCCTTGCTGGGTGTGAGGTGTCTATGGGGCACCCGCTGCTGCCGCCGCTACCGCCACCGCCGCCGCCGCTGGTTGCTGTCTCTATGGCGAGGAGGAGGAGGAGGAGCGCGGGCTCAGCGACACAAGTAGATCTTGCGTCTGCCGGGGGGAGGGGCGGATTGGGGAAGTAGAAAGGGGGCGGGAACGATGAACCTCAGAGGGTGAGCGATGGCGCCAGCTGGAACGCGGCTGGCGGAGGAAGAGCTCGGCGGCGGGTGGAGGGGGGCAGGGTAACGGCCTGAGGGTATGTCAAGGGGGTGGCGCGGGCTGATGACGTAAAGGCTTTGTACCTGGGGCTTCGACGTTGTTGGACGGAAATTGGGAGTGGAGGGCGGTGGCCTAGATCCTCAGCTCCTCGTATTTCTTCTTGCAGCAGTGCTTGGGAGTCAGTCTGGCTCCAGTAAATGGTTATTAAGCACCTTCATGCTGGCCCTCTGCCAGGGAAGAGAGTTTTCTATGACTTGAGTGGCTCTGTGCTGTCTTCGTTTTTTTGGGAGCCTGCAGTACGGAGATTGTATCTCCAGTAATGAGAAGGCATCTGGTGCCTCGTCGGGGCTTCTGGAATTGTAGTAGAGAGAGAGGTGGAAAAAGCAATGTTAAGCTACAGGGTCTTTCTAAAGTGTGTGTGTGTATGTGTGTGTGTGTGTGTGTGTGTGGTTAGCGGAGTGGGGAGGGTAATATGGGAGGGGTTCCCTAGATCTTTGGTTTCTGTTCTTAGAGGACTTGAGGTTACATTTGTGACTGAAGTGTTTGGGGGGGTATCATAATTCCCTTTTTTACCCTTGTTTGTTAGGATTTTTTCAAACTTCTGTGAAAACTGAAGGAGCATTTGGAATTTTTCTGTCCAAGAATCAAAATGTTGGTCTGTACTCTTTATGGGGCATGATACTCTGTTTATGGACCGGAAACAATAGATGTATGTTTACGCTCAGGTTTTTAGGAAATTAGAAATAGTTTGAAGTGCATACACCCTATTGCTTCCTTTCTCCCTCCTGCAGTTATGGACATTCAAACAGTTTCTGTGGCTGTTACTTATTTTTCAGAAAGAGCTTTTTCTGGGTTTTTGTTGTTGTTGTTGGTTTACTAAAAAGTCCCTTCTAATTGGACTTGAATAAATGCCACTAAAGTAGATTTTGTAATCAAATCAGATTTTGAATGTTCTGTTAATTAGTAAAAGCAAACATTACCTTTGTCCTAATAATATCTGATCCCGTCATATTATATCACTGTTTAACTTTTCATTTTCTATGTGGAAATAGATATCTTTATAAAGTTTTATTTAGAGAGTGAGTTGAATTCAGAGCAATCTTTAATGTTAAATTTTTAAAAAATGATTAGTATGTACACATAAAAAATACTGTTTTTACTTAACATTGATATTAGAACCAGAAAACCTATGTTGCAGTTCTTTTTTTCCTACTGATTAGATGTGTGACTTTAGACAAGTCATTTCCCAAACTGATTTTCTTACAAATCAAGGACTTTGAATAAATACTCTTTTAGGTTTGTATCAATTCAGTTCTTCTGTGATTCATATTTCTGTTATCACTGGTTTTTATTTTGACAGGTACAAAAATAAAGGATAAAGTATTTTATGAAACAAACAAATCTTCAATCAAGTATAACATTTTGATGCTTGGCATCTAGACTTCTTGTGCCCTCACTATGCCAGCAGCAACTGTAGATCATAGCCAAAGAATTTGTGAAGTTTGGGCTTGCAACCTGGATGAAGAGATGAAGAAAATTCGTCAAGTTATCAGAAAATATAATTACGTTGCTATGGTATGCCTGTCATCAAATCCTTAAGATGCTTCTGATAAAAGAGGAAGAGGAATTTTAAAAGTCTTGAATTCAATCCATTTGGTAGAGAGATTAAATTATAAAAAGAAAATTTTGTCAGTGTCCTCCAATCAGAGATCACCACCACGCAGTGTGACAAATTGGGTTTATTACTCATTGGAGGGAGGGAAAAGGCATACCACTGGAACAATGGGGCATTTGAGTAAGAGTGTTAGAAAGGACTTTTAGGATTTGGGCTTCTGTCAGGTGGTTTTAGGGAGGGATTAAGGAAGCAGGGCCTTGCCCTGAATTGGATGCTGTTGAGAAGGGGGGTAATTCTGTAACAGGGTATCTTAATAAGTCTTGAATGAGAGAAGACTAGAGTGAGACTAAAGCTATAAAGAAGCAACGGTTACTTAATATTAGCCAAGATAGAAGGATGTTTGATCATTTTTGTGGTTTGGACAATGTTTATGTTTTTGTCTATGCTCAGTCACAATTACAGAGTGGTCTTGTCTGATGTTGAAGTGTGAAACTATTCATACTCAACAACAGAAGAACATTAGAACGTAGCTGTGAGTGCCAGGTCAGCTCCCAGCAACACTTAAGGCTTAACTGATAATACCAGATGAACACACAGAAGCTAGGGAGCTCCTGCATGTCTTTCTCAAAAAAAAAAAAAAAAAAATCAGATCTCCCAGTGGAACATTGTTAATCTGCAGGGTTCTTGTCATTTGTTTTAATCATCAGTGGAGTTGGATGAACACACTGCTGTTAAGCATCTCTGCTTTTGCATTTAGTATTCAATCTACCTAGACCATCTATTCAGTTAATTATTTTGCTGCTTTATCTGCTGTACTTTTTACATCTATTATAGTTACTTAATTGTTTTCCATATTGTAAGTTCCGCTAAGCAAGGGGTTAGTGTCTTAGTCATCCTTTCTCTCCCACAACACACCTAGCATAACACAAAATATCCAGTAAAGTGGTTGTTGAGTTGGACTGAATTTAGAGTTTTAATTTCTTTACTCTTTCATAGGGATTTGGTATTCAGATTTTGTTCTTAGCTTCCCAGTTTGAATTTTAAAATTAAAGTGATATAGTATCATTTCCTCAGTATTTTTTTTTAAAGATTTTATTTATTTATTTATTTGAGAGAGAGAGAATGAGAGATAGCACGAGAGGGAAGAGGGTCAGAGGGAGAAGCAGACTCCCTACTGAGCAGGAAGCCTGATGTGGGACTCGATCCCGGGACTCCAGGATCATGACCTGAGCCGAAGGCAGTCACTTAACCAACTTAGCCACCCAGGCGCCTGCCTCAGTATTTTTAATGCAAATAAATGTACTTCTGTGAGGAGGTGCAGGTTGGTGAAAATACGAATATTTGGGTGTACATAGATAACCTATTTAATGAAGGTATACTTACCCATAATTAGAATTGAAGTTTTTTATCCCACAAAAATATATAGTGATCATTTCTCAGATGATAAGGAGTGACATTAGAGACATCATAACGTTCTTCAGGAATAAGTGGGTATCATGTAATTTTTGATGACATGTTTTCTCTAAAGTACAGAGAGAGTGCTATTTTAGCCCAAGAAATTAAGAGGGTTTTGATATTTAGAAAAACCTTGTCTCAGAAATGCTTGGAAAGTATGATGCATTTTCCATTCCTTTTAACCAGTTCTTCATTTGTTTTAACACTAGCATACTGTGAGCATAGTTTCACATACCCCTTGAGAAACATGAATTTATGATTTTTTTTCCCTTCCTTGGGAATAGAGTACTTGGTGCATTTATCATTCATGTCTTCTACATAATAATTTTTTACTGACACAGTATTTAAAAGAAGAAAAAGTCATTAAGTTTGTAGAGTTTTGTTTTATGGATCTAAAAAGTAACACTCTTTATAGGTAAAAGATAATTTGTATTTGAATATGATGAATGTGTAGAATATTATCTATAACAGTATTCTTTGACTTGAACCAAAAATTATTTATTCTAAGAATTTGTGATTATGGTTTTGATCATTTAGTAAATAATGAATCTTAAAACTATTTTACAGGACACCGAGTTTCCAGGTGTGGTTGCAAGACCTATTGGAGAATTCAGGAGCAATGCTGACTATCAGTACCAACTATTGCGATGTAATGTAGACTTGTTAAAGATAATTCAGCTAGGACTGACATTTATGAATGAGCAAGGAGAATATCCTCCAGGAACTTCAACTTGGCAGTTTAATTTTAAATTTAATTTGACGTAAGTGGGAAATAAATATAACCCAAACTTTTTTTAGCTTAATTTTAGGAATTGATTTCCCTCAAGTATGGTGAATGAAATGCTAACTGAATTGGCACAGTTATCCTAGAAATATTTAAAACCTAAAATTTCAAAAGACTAGATTTCTTCTAATGGGACGAAAGAACCAGGATAAAGAAGACTTTATATTCAAATACTTTGAATTTTAAAGATGTTGTTTGTAAAGTATGACTGCCACTTTTTTTGAAATCTGAAAAACTTTGGGTATTGAAAACACTTCTTGATAGAAAAAATAATCTTACATTAGTTTTACTTTCAAACTTTGTGTGCAATTTGAAATATATACATCTTTGTTGTAGTGATTATCCTTCTTGTGAAGAGATTTTTATTACAGTCAAACTCCAGTTTGTGAGTAGATTACATGTCAAGGGCAGTAAGACATTTCTTGGAAATTTGGGTGCATTTTCCTGTCAAGTCAGTATAATTATATAATACCTACAGTCCCTGATCAGCTCACAAAACCTCTTGTAACTTACATATAGGAGAGGTAATGGTATCATTAAACTTGGTATTTCTTTCAGAAACTGTTCAGAATCTGAATTCTAACTCAAGCCCAAGGTTGAAACTCAGTTTTCTTACTTGTTTTGACAGCTTAGGGAAGTTTAGTGTTTTTGGGTAAGAGCAGATTGTTTACAAACTGACTCTAAGGTGGGGAAATGTTTAATACATTCTAATTAAGTTACAGCATTGCAGTGTCCTTCTGTTTGACAG